AAAGGAAAACAATGCTGGAGGCATCACACTTCCTGATTTCAAAATATACGTCAGCCGAAACCGGTTTGGCTCAGGGGTGGAGCATCGGTCTGTGGACTGAAAGGTCCCAGGTTCGATTCTGGTCAAGGGCATGTACATTGGTTGCGGGCACATCCTTGGTAGGGAGTGTGCAAGAGGCAGCTGGTCCTTGTTTCTCTCTCTTCAACGTTTCTAGCTCTCTATCTCTCTCCCTTCCTCTCTGTAAAAAAATCAATAAAATACATTTAAAAAAATATACTTCAAAGCTACAATAATTAAAACAGTGTGGTACTTGCATAAAAAACAGACACATAGACCAAAGGAAAAGAACAGAGAGCCCAATAATCAACACATGCCTATAGGGTCAAATGATCTTCAACAAGGGTGCCAAGAATACATAATGGAGAATGTTTTTTTAAAAACTGAACTGGGAGCTGAAACCGGTCTGGCTCAGTGGATAGAGCATCAGCTTGTGGACTGAAAGGTCCCAGGTTCTATTCCAGTCAAGGGCATGTACCTTGGTTGCAGGCACATCCCCAGTAGAGGGTGTGCAAGAGGCAGCTGATCAATGATTCTCTCTCATTGATGTTTCTAACTCTCTATCCCTCTCTCTTCCTCTCTGTAAAAAATTAATAAAATTATTTTTAAAAAATAATAATGCATTCATTAAAAAAAAAAAAACGAACTGGGAAAACTGAATGTCTTTATGGAAAAGAATAAAATTGGACCCATATCTTACACCACACATAAAAATCAAGTCAAAATGTATTAAAAATTTAAATGTAAGCCCTGGAATTGTGAAACTCCTGGAAGAAAAACATAGGGGAAAACTTCAAAATATTAGATTTGGCAATGGTTTTTTATATATGCCATCAAAAACACCAGCAATCAAAGCAAAATTAGACAAATGAGACTACACCAAAACAAAAAAAGCCTCTGCATACCACAAGAAACAACCCACAGAATGAAAAGGCAACCTAGGGGATAGAAGAAAAAATATTTGTAAGCCATATATCTGTTATGTTATTAATATATAAGAAACTCTTATAATTCAAAGCAAGAACAAAAAACAAATAATGTGATTTAAAAATGGGTGGACATAGATATTTCTCCAAAGAACACATACAAATGGCCAACAGATATATGAAAAAATGCTAAACTTCACTAATTATCAAAATTTAATTATGCAAATCAGAACCACAATGAGATATCACCTCACAGCTGTTAGGATGGAGGGAAAAAGTGTTAGCAAAGATGGGGAGAAATTGGAACCCTATACACCAAGCAAATTAAAGTCAAAAGCTAACACGGGCCAAATAAATCAGGCATGCGGCCCGCGAGTTTGACATACTTGCTGTGCACTATTGGTAGGTATGCAAAATGGTATAGCCACTATAGAAAACAGAAGTTCCTTAAAAATTAAAAATACAGTCGAAGCCGGTTTGGCTCAGTGGTAGAGTGTCGGTCTGTGGACTGAAAGGTCCCAGGTTCGATTCCGGTCAAGGGCATGTACATTGGTTGCGGGCACAACCCCAGTAGGAGGTGTGCAGGAGGCAGCTGGTCGATGTTTCTTTCTCATCGACGTTTCTAGCTCTCTATCTCTCTCCCTTTCTCTCTGTTAAAAATCAATAAAATATATTTTTTTAAAAATTAAAAATACAATTATGATATGACCCAGCAATCCTACTTCTGAGTCTATATCCAAAGATATTGAAGTCAGGGTCTTAAAGAGATATATGCACTTCCATGTTCATTGCAGCATTATTCACAATAATCAAGATATGGAAACAACTGAAGTGTCCAATGTCAAATGAGTGGATAAAGAAAAGTGGAGTGTGCATACGATGGATTATTCAGCCTTTAAAAAGCAGAAGGAAATCCTGCCATCTGTCACAGCATAAATGAACATGGAGGACATTACGCTAAGTAAAATCTCCCATTTGCAGACGTCCACTTAAGCGGTGTCTAAAATAATCTAACTTACTGAAACAGCTTGGAAAATAGTGGTTGCCAAAAGTAGGGTTGGGAGAGACAGCAGTTGCTGTTCAACAGGTGCATAGTTTCAATTACTCAAGAGAAGTCTAAGTGTTAGCGATCTACTGCACAACATTGTGCCTACAGTTAACAATGCTGTGTTGTACACTTAAAAGCTTAAGGTGGTAGATTTCATATTAAGTGTTCTTACCACAATAAAAATAAATAAATAAATAAATAAATAAATAAATAAATAAATAAATAAAATTCATACAATGGTTTTAAATTCTCAAAGATCTTTGTCCACACAGGCCTAACTTAGATACAATTAAAGTAGTTTGAATATAAGTACAAGGCCACTTGGTATTTTTACCAACTACCTAAAATAAAAATCATAAAGGCCAATGATTGGTTCACACTGAATAGCTTAATAAGTGTGATTTTTGTGCCCTTCCTTGCAACAATCTTTAGAGCTGTGTGGGTCTAGCCTGGTTTATGTCATCCTTTATACATGCCTGGCTTTGGGCTATTGCATCAGTCTCACCTCAGATGACTGAAAAGGAAACATCCGGGATATATATATATATATATATATATATATATATATATATATTTAAGTCTGTTATTATTGATTTTAGAAAGAGAGGAAGGGAGAAGTATAGAGATAGAAACATCAATGAAATGGAATCATTGATCTGCAGCCTGCTGTACACCCCTTCCTGGGGATCAGGCCCACAACCTGGGCATGTGCCCTGACTGGGAATTGAACCAGTGACCTCTGGGTTCTTGGATCCACAGCCAACCCCTGAGCCACACTGGCCAGGCTCCAGGTCTTATTTAAATCAATACCTATGAGTACAGAAAGTTTAGTTCACTTTCTGTTTCTGAAGAGGCACCCATCTTTTTCCAACTAGTGTTTGTTTGCACCCCAGATTTGCAACTAAATCTTCTCAAAAGAATTGTTTTTAAAAGGATGCATTGCATAGCCAGTGAGTTTCCCTACACAAAGAGCAATGCACCTTAGACACCAAGCTGCTTTTTATAACCTGTGATTCCAAGAGATGCTCTCTGCCCACCCCACCCCATCCCACCCCACCCCACCCCACCCCACCCTCAACACTCCTTCTCCTTTGCCCCTGTTCTGCCATATCTCTACCAACTTTCCTCTTCCTCAAAGGCCTTGCTTCATGGTCTACTCCATTCCTACACTCCACTCTTCTACCCCTGCCATCTCCTGCATGAATTAAAATAAATTTATATATATATATATATATATATATATATATATATATATATATATATATGTTTTTTTACAAAGTCAAGACCTCACCCTCCACCAACTGGGCAGAAACATTTGGCACTGATCTTTTTAAAATGGAAAATGCTCAGACTAGGGACCTAGATGGTCTCCATGGCAGTTGTAAGCCCCGCACACCTCATGCTGAGCGCTTCCACACCTTAAATTAACCATCAGCCCTCATTGTCACAGATTAAAAACCAGGTCAGTCTGGAAGTTAAACATTTATATTTGTGCCATCTTAGCAGATTTTAAACAAACATTGAGAAAACTGAAAGTACTGAGTAGCTCTAGCTGGAGGCCAGGGTGAGGTCTCTTGACAGGTGTCTGATGACTTAGAAAAGGAAGCCATAGCAATTGGCAACAATTCACGGGCTTTTGATTTTCAGCTGGAATCCAAAACCATTTTCCAAGAGGACAAATGTTTATAAGATATTCTCCTCAGAGTCAAATGTGCAATTTCCTCAAACCCCTCCCCCCTTTAAAACATTAAACTTTCAATGGAAATAATTAAGCCAGAAGCCCATGGGTTGTTGCCAATTGCTAGGGTTTCCTTTTCTAAGTCTTCAGAGACACCTGTCAGGAGACCCTGGCCGCCAGGCCCGGGCAGGCTTTTCAAACTGCCAATCGGATCCCATCTCAAATAATCGTTACCATAAAGACGGGTTCAGATTACACACGTTGGAAAAAGCTCAGAACACTGATGGTACAGAACCAACCTTTATTTCAACAGTTTTATCCAACACATCCCCAGCTTCAGTGCTGAGTCAAATTAGAAGCGGTTGAGTCAAGCTCGTGATGTATGAAATAGCACTTCCCTCACATCAGCTCTTCGCCTCTTCCAAGTGAAGCTAAGTCTCTTTTAAATTCAAGAAAATACACACACACACACACACACACACACACCAAAAAAAAAACAAAAAAAAACCTGGCGTTCCCTCGGGTCCCTTTGCACGTTATTCACACCAGAAATGCTGAATCATGACTCCGAGGTTGTAAAAAAGAAAAACTACTTCGACTGGGACGCCAGGATCCCCAGAGGCTCCCACGCTTCTGCATTCCTTTGCTTTGCACCTTTTCAAGTCTGCATCAGGGTTCTCTCCGCGGGCTGGAGGAGTTCCGAGAGCAGCCAAGGCTGCAGGTCGTGGAAAGATCCTCTCCTCTGCCCGCTCCCCTGCTCCTTCCCAAAACTCAGGCAGCCCTACAATTCAGGGATCCTGCCTCATCTCCTGGGAACGCGACCCCTAAGCGACTGATCACAGTCCCCATCGGCAAAGCTGCCTAATGCCTCTGAGACATCCCCAACTTGGAAGCATCACCATCACAGCCACCCATTCGGAACTCCTTGGGCCCGCAGTGGTCTCACTTGACCACATTCCAGCAGGAGTGGGGGGGGGGGGGCGGGGTACGGAGACAGCTCCCCCAGCTCCTCTCCCAGTCTTGTTCCCATAGACTAACCCGCCCGGAGCGCAGTCTTTGACAAACTCCATCCCAACTCCCCAGCCCGCGCCTCCCTCCCGAGCCGCCCGGGAGCCCAGAGAAGCGGGACCGCGGTCCACAGAGCAGAGTGGCCTGGGGAGTCTGGAGAGGAGCGAGGCACGGATGGGGAAGGCGAAAAGCAAGAAAAAGAAACGCCCATCAAACCAGTCCCGCAACTTCTGGGCAAGTGGAGAGATTGAAACCGCGCTGCGGGCGCGAGGCGGGGACTCACTTGAAGGTGAGGACGCAGAGCGGCCGGTAGGACTTGTGGCTGGTGTTCTCAGCCATGCCCTTGCCCCAGAAGTCGTTGGCGAAGATGCCCCAGCGGAGCGGGGTGCCGGGCCGCAGGTCGGGGTTGTTCACGATCGCCCACACGTCGTCGTGCACGAACTCGCCCTGCAGGGAGCGGCCGTAGCACAGGCAGCTCGCCCCGGCCAGCAGCGCCGCCGCCCCGGCCGGCGCGAGTCCGCAGTCCCGCCGCCGCCGCCGCCGGGAGGGCGCGCGGTCCCCCCCGCCGCCGCCGCCGCCGCCGCCGCCGCCGCCGCCGCCTCGGGCTGAGCCGGTCACCACCATCGCGCCGCCACCGCTGCTGCCCTGGCCTCTGCCGGGCGTCTGGCATCCTCCCCGGCCGGGGCCTCGGCGGCGCGCGGCGGCTGCCTGGAGGTGGGCTCGGGCATGGTGCGGCGGGCGCTGGACCTGCCGCCGCCGCCGCCGCCTGCGCCTCCGAGTTGGCCCAGCTGCAAATAAACAGCGGTCCCCCCGCCTCCCCGGGCCATCGCCACCTCCTCCTCCGCACCACTGCGCATGCCCCGCGCGCTCCAGCCTCCACCACCCTCCACACCCCCCCATCCCGGGACTGGAGCCGCTCACCCACACGCACCCCGGCGCCCGCCGTCCGCGCCGGGCTCCCCACGCCGTCCGCCCCCGGGCGCGGCGGCCCCGGGCGGCCAGAGTGGGCGCGCAGGTGGAGCGGGGATCCCGCCGCTGGGCGGCCCGGAAAGGCGGGTTCCCGCCTGCCCTGCCCGCTGGGGAGGACCTCATCTGGCCGCACCTGGGACCAGGATGGGTTTAGCTGGACCGGCAATCCCCGCACCCCTCCCCGGGACAGAAAAGTGGCCGCCGCCTCCAGGGCAGGTCCCGATTTCAGCACCCCGGACAACAGCAGCGCGGGCGCCGGGGGCACGGGGCGCGCTCTCCCGCCCGCACCGCGCTCCGTCCTGTCGCCCCGTCCGCGTCCCCTTCCCGGGCCCGTCTGTCCCCGACGCGGCGCCGCGTCCGTGGTTGCAGCCATGGGTGGAGGGGATCCCGGGGAAATGAGGGTCCCGAGCCCCTTTCCGAAAACCAGGAGGAAGGGTCTCCCTGGCCGTGGGCTTCCTGCCCACCCTGCCCGGGTTGCCCCGAGGCGCCGCTAGCTGTTTCCTTCACCCTTTCTGGATCTGCTCGCACTTAGGAAAAGTCCCAGGTTCGGTGTTTGGTGTGGGTCTGGATGCTGAATTGGCTTTTAAAACATTTTTTTGTTTTGTGTTGTTTTTCTGAAACTCTCCAGGTAGTACGGGAGGTACTGAGCAAATTACTGTTTCCTCCCATCTAAGCTTATCACTTGGGTCGGATTATTATATCCTGGGCTGTGGGCGTGTTTGTTCTGTTCCTGCTAAATCAATAGATTAAAACAAAAAACAAACTTCTTGTGTTTAGGCCTCTGGCTCTGGCTCCCAATCTTCCTGTTTAATGAAAGGTTTTCTTCTTTAAAATTACTAATTTTAATATGTAAACAAGTTAGATGATGAGTACTAGGTTTGAAAAATCTGTTAACTCTTTGAGGCTCCTTGTAAGTTTTTATTGCTGTGGTTAATGAGATGACCTGGAAATTTATATATCCAGACGGAAAAACTTAAAATACAAAATGCACCGTTTTATTCCCATCTCTCCAAAATTTTTAAAAGTTTCGTGGACTTTAAAAAAGTAAAATAAAAGATACTGTTCTTATACTGACTCAGCATTGGTGTGATTCTTTACTACACTAATTTTTTTTTTAACTTAAAGGTCTATCTGTTTTCAACTCAATGATTTAAGACAAATATTCCAAGGCAGGATGCATTTCATCTATTACATTTTGTTTTTTGGTGACTTGAAAATTAGTGACTGAGTAATGTTTTCAACCTAGCATCAAAACTTTTGACCTTTGGTAGCTTTAATATCCAGAGTACACACACACCTGAACACACTACAGCCTTTTCCTTCTTTGCCTGCCATTAATTTAATAAAAACATGAAGGGCAGGTAGCCCCACAGGAGTGGCTCAGGTGGCTGAGTGTAGCCCTGAGCACCAAAAGGTTGCCAGTTCATTGCCCATCAAGGCACATACCTGGGTAGTGGGTGTGATCCCCAGTGGGGGAACTTAAGGAATGCAACTGATCAATCGTTCTTTCTCACCTCTCTCTCTCTCTCTCTCTCTCTCTCTCTCTCTCTCTCTCTCTCTCTCTCTCTCTCTCTCTCTCTCTCTTTCTCTCCATGCTGAGATAGAAAAAGAGAGAGGAAAGGTAAGGGGAAGGGAAGAGGAGGGAGGGGAGGGAAGTAAAAGAGGGGGGCAGCAGAGGGGAGAGACATTATGCTACAATGTGCTAAGTAGGCTGGATGATCAAAGCGGCTCAAATTGTGTGTGTGTGTGTGTGTGTGTGTGTGTGTGTGTGAGAGAGAGAGAGAGAGAGAGAGAGAGAGAGAGAGAGAGAATATATGAGTGTGTATGTGTGTCGTGTGTGTGTGTGTGTGTGTGTGTGTGTGTGTGTGTGGTTAATACCATAAAAGCATCCTTTTTTTTTTTTTAATGTTCAGTTATTTCTGAATTTTTTGCTTTCTGCCCAAGGGACACATCATTTCTACCACCTTTACCACCTTAGGACTTTGGTGTTCGCAATCCTGCGGGTGGTGTCTTTTGGATGGATGGCATGGAGTGCTGCTGTCCAGGGCATGGTTAAGATCAAAGTCCACCCCTCCTTCTAGCAGGCGGTGGTAGGTGGCACTCTCAGCCTCCAGTGTGACCTTGATGTTCATCAGGTCTCCTACTCCTGGCCCAGCTCTGACTCCAGATGCATTAGGATCCCGTTGAGCTGCTCCATCTGCAGGGCATAGTGGGTCTCCACCTCCCACAGGCTGTTTCCAAGCTGGCCTTCAGATTTCTCATTGAGTCCAGGTCAATCTTCAAGGCCTGGAGCTTATGTCTCAGGTCCGTATATCTCAGCAGCTCCTATCTCAGCAATCTGCGAGGTGACCACTGTGTGTTCTCCTCAGTCTGTTAGGACCAGTACTTGTCTAGCTCCTTTCAGTTCTCCCAAGCAGCTCATCATACTGGACCAAGCTGATGTCCACCCTGTTCTTGCTGAGGCCCTGAGATTTGGGGGCAGCCAACTCCATAGTCAACCCAGAGTTGGCAGTCCTCCTCCTGGGTCTTCATGAAGATCGGCTCCTCCTTGAGAGCCTTAATCTCTGTCTCCAGCTGCACCAGAGTGATGTTGATGTCATCAATGACCTTTCAGAGCCCATTGATGTCACTCTCCACAAATTGGTGCATGACTAATTCTGTCTCATACTTGACCCTGAAGTCATCAGCAGCAAGGCAGGCCTTGTCAGTCTGTAGAATGATGCAGGCATTGTCCACAGAAATTGCAAAGATCTGAGCCTTTGATGGTCTTGAAATAATGCCCCCAGTCTCTAACCTGGGGTCCCTTCTTGTCCAGGTGTTCCCGAATTTTGTTCTCCAGTTTCCAATTATCAGCCTCCAGGCTTCTCACCCTCCCTAGAAAGGAGGCAAGGTGGTCATTCAGGCATTGTATAGTCTTCTAGCTCTGCATGCCCCTCTATATCCGACAGACCTCAGCCAAACACACAGCCCCCGGTCTCCCAACCATTCCACACATTGGTGGATTGGGACACAAGATCTGGGAGGCCGAGCCCTAGGTGTCTGCATAGATGCTGGCCACACTACTGGTTGGCCTGGCCCAGTAGCTGAGTGACTGTAGGAGTTTGAAGAGAAGTTTGAGCAGATACTGAAGCTGGTGATGTTTAGAGAGGAAGGCAAGAGCGGAGACCCACGTTCAATCACCAAAATCTAACTTTCTAAGTTTACAACTGAGTTGGATAGGGAAGCTTCCCCTGCTGAAATGATAGCAGTCACAATAGGCCAATGTATCAATCCTTACCTATAATTAATAAGGCCTTTCTGGAGACAATGTCTTCCTCTCAAAGGATAACTCTAATAATATATATTTTATAGACAGCAGACTTTTTCTCCCTCAAATCACCCTAAACTCATCCTTGTGAGAGGCACAGCTCCACCCACCAACTTCTTATCTGAGCTATGTTGTTTATTTGCTTGCTTTTTGTTTAAGATGAAATGGTATCAAAGTTCTCTCTGACATTGGGAAGAAGAGAATAAGGATCACAACCGAGACTCCAAAAAGAAATAGAAAAGGGAAGATATAAAGGAAACCTCTAAGAGGGATTCCAGATTTCTGAGCACAGAAAGTTCATTAAGCTTTCCTCTAAGTTCTGTTGCATCTCAATTGTAGTTAGTACAGACAATGAAGTTTGTATTAATTTACTTGAAAACAGTGAGATACTTTAAGGACAAACTAATCAGTAAATACTTTTTGAAATTCAACATGTCCCTTGCAGCTCCATCATTTGTGACTCAAGACTGCTCTGTGCTACTGGAAATACTGTAAAAGTGTCTACATTGCTGTCAGCCCACCATCCCTTCTGCCTCTCTCATAGTGTGTAAAGCATTCCTCTTGACTAACCAAGGGGCCCAAAAGGAAATTAGATTAAATTCTCGTTATTTAGTCTCTGATTATATTTAAAGGGTTTATAATTAGAGCAATACTACCTTCTAAGACACCTTTTGTCAACACAAATTATCACCAAAGTGCCTCTCTGAGGCTCATACAGATTAAGTCACTTGTACAAATTAAAATAGACCAGATTTCTGAAAGAAATGAGGACACAACTAAAAATAAATCAAGAGCAAATAGCTATTTTGATAAAAGCAATGTCAAATTACTACACTTAGCCTTTCAGTCTTATATACCTGTTCAGATACACCCTATAGAAAGGAACAAATGCAATGTTACAAAGGCAGAAATTCAGGAAAAGTGCTAATATAATTTATAGTAACAATATTCTTTGTTGTTTAGTTATTTAACTATTACCAATCATTAAATAAAACACAGAAAACTAGAAAAACAAGAAAATTAAAATACCTTATCCCCACCACCCATGGGATCTATTTATTATAGGGCAGTCAGCCTGCACTCTAAGAAGCTGGCCCAGCCTGGCTGGTGTGGCTCAGTGGCTGAGCATCAACCTATGAACCAGGAGATCATGGTTCGAGGTGTGCAGTGAGAGGTGTGCAGGATATCACTAATCAGTGATTCTATCTCATCATTGAAGTTTCTCTTTTTCTCTCTCTGACATCAATAAAATATATTTTAAAATAAAAAATAAAAATACATTTTGAAAAAAAAAAAAAAAAGAAGCTGGCCCAGCACCTATTGCAGCAAAGGAGGGACAGTCTGGGGT